TATAACATAGTGAGCACGCTGAACTATAGCAGTTTATCACAGTTATTATTTTCATATTTTACGTTGTGTTTTTTTTTCCATTTATTCACATTAAGATTTTTTTTTTTTATGTTTCTATTCGTTTCATTTATTTATGTTAGTTTGTTAGTCTTTTTCTAATTGGAGTTCAGAACAATGCAAAAGAGTAAAATTAAGGACATTTCCAAAATATTTTTATTTTATTCAACATCATGTTTACTTGATGAATGTTCATTCATCTATCGCTTCCACTTATCCTTTTTAAGGTCACGGGGGGGCGCTGAAGCATATCCCAGGCAGGGTTCACCCTGGACAGGTCTCCAGTCTATTACAGGGCTAACACATAGACAGAGACAAACATTCGCACTCACATTTACTCCCTCATTCACATATATGGGCAATTTAGTGTTTCCAATTAACCTAACGCCACTAACTGCATGTCTTTGGACTGTGGGAGGAAGCCAGAGTACCTCGAGAGAACCCACACAATCACGGGGAGCACATGCAAACTCCACACAGGTGGAATTGAACTCAGGACCTTCTTGCTGTGTGGCAACAGTGCTAACCATTGGTGAATGTATATTTAGTTATTATTTTTTTAACAGTAGTATTTAACTTTTTTAGTTTTGTTTAGAGTAGATTTTAAATTTTTGTTTTTAACACCTCACACATGATCTGGCATCAAAGTATTTCCCTGACATGCACCTAAGCTGCAAACCTGCTTGACCTCTTAGGTCATCTAGATCAAGCTGCCTGGTTATATTCCAGGTTTCCATTAAAACTGTTGGAGAAGCTCATACTTTTTGTGTTCAACAACCTATTAAACCGTGTTAGATGTGCTCCAACAAATCAGTACTTAAGGGTGTTTAGTTCCTGCTCTTAAGTATTTTACAATTGAAAAACATATTTTAGGTTTAATTAATTTTATTGGACTACTGTTGAGCTGTTTGTTTGTTGTTTGCTCAAGAAAGATGTTAAATCTTTATATCATTTATATAAATCTCCTGTGTTGTAATTCTGGTTACCCATTATCACTGATGAGGCTGTTATTAAAACAAGAAGGTGAGTGTTGATTTATTGGAATAAGACATAACCAAATCAGCCACGGATTACAAATAGTAAAAGACTTGAATGTAGTGGAGTAAAATGTGCAATATAGATGCAAAAGTCCCATTTTTCTAAGGCATGATCCCTGATTATACATTATGCTATGTATCTTCAGTATCCCCCACCATATTACACCTCAACTACCAGTACGAACCATTTAAACAAGGTAGGATGAAGCCATGCTTTCATGTTGTTTAGGTCAAATACTACCTGTATGTCACGAAACAGACTCATCCAACAAGCAATGTTTTTTGTTTTGTTGGGGGAGGGTTCAGTCTTCAGTCCAGTTTTAAAGATCCTGTGTAAATTTTTAGTGGCACCCAGCGTGGTCTTCTGCTGCCAAAGCCCATTTGTGTCAGGGTTATATGTTCAGAGATGATCTTCTGCATACTTTGGTTGTAACGTTCAGTTGTCTGAGTTACTGTTGCCTTCCTATCAGCTTGAAGCAATCTGAATCTGGTCATCCTCATCTGACCTCTAGCATCAACAAGCCTACAGAACTGCCACAGACTGGATATTTTCTTTTTTTCAGACTGCTCTCTATAAACCCTAGAGTTAGTTGAGTGGGAAAATCCCAGCAGATCAGCAGTTTCTGAAATACTCAGAGCAGCCCATCTGGCACCAAGAAGAATGCCACATTGAAAGTCACTAAAATCACTTTTCTTCTTCAGTTTGTTGCTCAATTTGCAGGTTATCTTGACTATGTCTCTGTGCTTAAATGCACTGAGTTGCTGACATGTAATTACATATTTTTTAAGGCGTCATTATTAAGTCCTAGGCAGCACAAAGTGGTGCAGTAGTTAGTACTGTTGCCTCACAGCAACGTTCGACTGCACCATCTGGCCAGGGCCTTTCTGTGTAGAGTTTGTGCGTCCTGTATTTGTGCAGGTTCTCTGCAAGTACTCCAGCTTCCTCCCACAGCCCAAAGACATGAAATTAGAGGGGTTAGGTTAACTGATAAATTGCCCTTCGGTGTGAACATGAGTGTGAATGGTTGTCTGTCTCTCTGTGTTAGGCCAGCAAATGACTGGCAACCTGTCCAGGGCGTACCCCGCCTCTCGCTCTATAATAGCTGGAATAGGCTCCAGTCCCCCGACAACCCTGACAAGGATAAGTGGAAGAGAACGGATAGATGGATGGATTATTATGTTCTTTGCATCCGCAGGTTAATCAAAACCTGCCAGTGTTTTGGTTAGACTGTAGATTTGAATTTACAACTTCTAAACTATGAAATCTACTACCATTGCATATGAGATCTGTGGCTATTGAAACTTTTAAAGAGCTGTTAAAGAGTTTTTAGTATAGGCTTGCTTTAAACTAGTGGATAATGTTGTTGTTTTAACACTTATATTATATTTTGTATTTGTTTGCTTGCTTTTCTTAAAAGGTGCTATTTAAATACATTTTATATACTTACTTAAAAAGTAATGAAAAGAGTGCTGTAATCTTCCCGAGCACAAGAGGGCGCCTTTGAACGCTTTGAAATATTTAAAGCGAAGCGGTTTTAATGATATCAAACGTTCGAACATAAACAAAACCAACAAGAGTAAAATTCACTCTGTAGAAGATGGTATTCTTTTCTTTAAAAATGACTATAGTACTAAAACCAGATTACTGTAACTTATTAGTCACTAATTGTTCCAGTGTTAATCCTATAAATAGACTTTTAGCCTACTTCTTATTCATGAACATATGAATATACGCTGAGCATACCTCTGTAGCTACCCTTACTCAAATTTTTAAAAGTAGGACTTAACATCAGGCACATATTGCAACCTTCATTTACTGACTATAGACTGTTACTATTATACTCACATGTTACTTATTAATAAAGTGAACAAATCACTATTTAAATCCCGTTTCCGCCTAAATGTCCCTTTACTCTGTGAGGAATAAATCACACACACACAAGCGGGTAATAGAGAGTCCAGGCCTTTAACAAATGCTGTAAGCCCTTTAGTATGTACGATCCCCGGCCCTTCCTCCCCGGCTCGTCCCTCATCTCCTCCCGGTTAAAACGTGACACACTTCAGTGACAGGTCACGTGATGGCCGTAGCGTTGATCCGGAAGGAGGGAGGGATGGAGGGGAGCGGGTTGAGTAGCGGGAGGAAGGGAGAGTAGAAGGGGATTGAAAATGCGTCAGGTCAGCCAGAGAGCGCGTGTAACAGAACGGAAGCCTGTGCGAGGAGGTTTCAAAATAAACATCAAGGAGCTTAAAGAGAGAAAAAAAAAAATCACCCATGACTGAAAAATGAAACCAACAAAGAAATGATAAAAACTCTGCAGTTCATCTAATGGTCACTTGAGGCTGGTTCCAAAAGTCAGTCAGTCCCCAAACTCCAATATTAAAATGCCCAACCAAACAGTGTTAAAAGAGCACGTTTGCAGCCTGGTACCAAAAACGAAAAAATAAATAAAAATACCTGGCAGCACGAAGCTATTATGGGTTTATTGGTTTACTGAATTGACTTAATCTATGTTCAGTAATTGTCAATAAAGAATCATTCTGTTCTTCTTCTTCAGACTGAAGAAAAAAGATCTTCTTCTGAAAATAAAGATCAAGTTATTTTCCATAGTGGACCAAATTAAATGACCAAATTTATGCTATAGAACCCAAAAAAACGAAATAAAATCTACTTAAAAACATGTGTACTTAAAAAAAAAAAAGACTGGCAGTGGATAGATGCAAGGACCCCAAAAGTTACGCTTTGGTGGAAAATAGATATTCTATTAGACACAATAACATGGCTGATCAAATCATTTGACTAACTCATCTACCAGCCATGGCAGTTATTAGTGTTGAAAATATAACTTTAATCTTTACATTTCGACTTCATCCTCAGAATGTTATTTAGACTTTATCCTGAAAATAATATTTTGACTTTTAGATCGAAAGTTAGACTTTATTCTCAAATTGCAGAAGAGGATTAGGGCCAATATGCCAAAATGGCCAGGGTAGAATTCCGAGGAAAAAGGTCCTAGTGGTGAAACGTGTTTTTATTTTGAAAATCACCACCGGAAGCTGCCCGAGGTAATGGCTATCTTGACTTTGCTTCAGTTCAGCTCGCCTGCATTCCTCCTCTCTCTAAACCCTGGCCGATAGAGACAGAGAAAGAAAGGAGGAGCAGGAGGGGGGCAGAAAACACAAATTATTATTCACAACCGTGTTGGATTTTTATGAAACCCGGAGTCGACTCATACGGGACACATCAAGCCACGAAAATTACTCCTGCCAGACGGCTCCTTCGGACGTACAATACCGAGAAAATGCGTATTTTTCTTTACTGAAAAGGGGACTGTGGCGTTGATGAGTCTGTGTAGGACAGCTATCGAAAAGCAGCTTTGGTGAAACAGCCTACAGCGTTTCCACAGCGGATATCTACTTTTTTTCTTTCTTTTTTTAAATGAGGATTTGCAAGATGGCTGATGACAGCTAGCCCTAACAAGGACAGAAACGCGACGTCCCCTTTAAGATCAGGAGGGTATATTTTTGTATTTTTTTTGTAATTTTTTTAGTTAAATATATAAATATGGCTGCTTCTAAAAATAATGACCATAGGTTATATTAACAGCGACTGTCCTCGTGTGAAAGCGGAGTGGATGTAGTGTTTATCTGTACCTGTGCTATGGTAGAAAATGGTGAGGTGACGTCTGAGGTAATTTACGCGATTTAATCGAGATAAGGAAGTACATAAATATGTTGTTGGCTGAAGGCTGTAGGGGGGGAAATGGTACAAACCAAAGTAAAATAAAATAAAATGAAGGGCTCCACAGCTGAGAACTAGTAATCTTTGTGTGAGGAGATATTTGATAGATGTTTCTGGCTCTGCAACAGCAGCCCAACATTCCTGCGGATCCTAAAAACCCCTTTGTTTTGTGCGCAAGAGCTGGACTCGACTATTAAAACGATTAACTATGCAGTAAACAGCCTCGATGTGATGGCCCGGGTATGATTTCCTTTTTAATGAGATTATAAGGCCTTTGTTGTCGACTGAAAACTGGTAGAAAAGCTGCGGCCTTGTGTTCAGATATGCGAGCTGTGCCACATAGCAGGCGTTATTCATCAAATGGAAATGTCGCTTTTATGTCAAATTGAAGGGCTGGAGGTACCTGTGTTTTTCCATCTGACCTTTGAAACAGCTTTTTCTGCCTACTGCCAAACCATCGCTGGTTGTATGTATAATTAAATTGCTGGTAGAGGCTACTCGGATACTTATTTATGATTCAGCGGACAAAAGCATTGCGCTGCGTTGTGATTATAGAGGAAATCAAGCGTCCTTGAGATCCCGATAAAACAGGTTCAGCTATTTTTTCTCTCTCTCTCTCTCTCTGTAAAGCTTTCTGTGTGGGAATAGTAATCAGGGTGTGGGCTCCAGCAGTCCTTTCTCGTGCTTTTCATGTTTTCATGCATGGTTTGTTGGTCTGAATTGTCCACAGTCAGTCATAATCCGGCGTTTAAGTGGAAGAGAGCTGTGAAGGTAAGGGCAGAAAAGGATCAAGTGTCTATTCCCGTGCTACACAGAGATTGAGTCTCTCCCTCGTCGTACAGGTAATTGTGTAGATCTTAATTCTCTGTGCCTTGTTTGCATTTCGTGGTTTACCTGTAGCAGACAGGCTGTTGGCTTCCTGCAGCAGGCCTTTAAACAGACACACACAGAAGCTGTGAAGTGAAGGCAGGCCCAGTGCTTGTGTGTATGTGTGAGTGTGTGTGTGTGATTTAGGGGAAAGGAAAGCACCGTTTACTGTAATCTGCATAACGTCAGCCCCTGTTGCATGTGTTGAAATCACCAAGGTGTTGTCATTTTTGCCTGAAGCCTTCTCTGGTCAAGTTTCTGGAATTTTGCCTTCATGCTGCAGTAATAAGCAATACTCGTCATCTGTCAGGGAGACTCCTCTAATTTGGTCACAAAGGTCGGCCTACACAGACTGATCTTTCAGGGGCGGCATTGGGTCTGGTTTTATCTTCTTTCTTTTTTTTCGCGAGACTCAGTTTGAGAGTGTCAGGTTTCCTGTGAGAGAGACAGAGGTCTGAAAGGAGTGGAAACCAGTGTATGCCTGCCTGCACCATGATGGCCTCTGACATGGCTGAGACATGGAGGAACTGTTTTGAGGAGGAGCTTATCTGCCCCATCTGCCTACACGTGTTCTCAGATCCCATCCAGCTGCCCTGCAAGCACAACTTCTGCCGGGGCTGCATCAGCGAGGCCTGGGCCAAAGACTCCTCGCTGGCTCGCTGCCCCGAGTGCAATCATGCTTACACCCAGAAGCCCAGCCTGGAGAAGAACCACAAACTATCCAACATAGTTGAGAAGTACAACGCCCTGAGCGTGGAGAAGGCCACCACGCCGACACTGCAGTGCATTCTCTGCCGCCGGGGTCCCCCACTCCCCGCCGTGAAGGTCTGCCTGCGCTGCAACGCCCCGTGCTGCCAGTCACACGTCCAGACACACCTGCAGCAGCCGTGCTCAGCCCTCGGGCACCTGTTGGTGGAGGCGGAGGCGGTGAAGGCCTGGACCTGCCCCCAGCACGACGAGTACAGGCTGTACCACTGCGAGGCCGAGCAGACGGCTGTGTGTCAGTACTGCTGCTTCGCCCGTTGCCATCCCAGCCACGGCCACGCCGTCACTGATGTGGAGCTGCGACGCAATGACATCAGAGTAAGGGAAAACGAATACAGTGTGCTTACTTTAAACACTTGTTTTTTCCATTTCTTATATGTGCTCAAGTGACTCGAATAAGAACAGGGGAAAGAAAACTACTGACGTCTTGTACGTTACTCAGATTGGTTGATAAGATATTTAAAAGGAAACCAGTAGGAGTATTGAACCTGTGGCTTCAGAGTCATATGCAGCTCTTTCTGCCATCTCCAGTGGCTTCCTGTGGCCAGACCTAGATGATTGTAAACATAGAAATGAATAATAGTTGCTTTATAACAGCCCCGATTCCTTCAGTTGACAATTTTTTTTGTTTGTTTATTTGTTTTGTTGTTAGTAATGATAAAAGCAACTAATTTTTAGTATTTTAGTTCATAAATGCTGTAAGACTTTGAAGAAATTGTAATAGGTTAATTTATACTAAGTGGACATTATAAAGCTAGAATATATTTTGGGGTCAAAAATTACTGGAAAAAAGCACTTTTGCTAGTAAAATCTGTAAAATCTATTTAACTATGTTTTTTTTTTTTAAAAAATCAGTGGTGTCACATTGGATCGTCTGTCGAATATTTTCTACATTTTGCTGATAGACTACAACAATTAATCAAAAAAATAATCAATAGTTTCAGCCCTACTTACTGCTCTCTGCTCATCAGAGATCAATAAGTGCTGGCTTTTATAACAGCATCACACCATCCTGCAAGCTCATTTTTCATCCACTTTGTAGCTTTCAAGCAAACATCAGCAGAACAAAGAGCATATTTAATGCCTTCCCGTGCCACATTTAAGACCTAAAGTGGAGATTTCTGCTGCCACAATAAGTTGTTGATTGTTTACCTCGTTACACAATCCCGTCTTCAATAACAGAACACTTTCCCATTTTAAGAAATGGTTGCATTTCAAGTGTTTCAGGTCTATCTCGCATTTTTTCAGTGGTGATCCATTCCAGCCTCCGTTCTCATCTGCTGGAATGACAAACAATGTGGTCGAGAGTGGAACAATGAGGGGCCCTCAGAGGGCCTTATCTCCCCAGCACAGGTGCATCCGAGCTCAGGGATCGCCAGTTGTGTGCGGCAGGGGTGGGAGTAGAGACGAGGGGAAGGGGGATTAAAGTGATTCGTCACTTGATTCTGCGGTCTACTTGGGGTTTTTTATTAACCTCTTCCTTTCCTGAGGGGTTGGTGCTTACTGCAGCTCGTTCTAGCGGAGGCTGGGCGAGTTTCCTAGCCTCTGTTCTTTCTTTTGAAGGGGTGGTTGACAGGCGCGTCCAGTCAGAGTGAAAACCAATTCCATCTGACTCATTTAGTTCACCCAACACCCTGTTTAGGTGGCAACCGTGTTATGGTTGGGCATTTTTCCTGCTGGTAATGCTATGACTCAGCTTTACGTATAGTAAATCAGTCACCTGTAGCGCACAAATGACTCTCAGGTGGGCTAAATTTAGAAGTTGTACTGTTAAAATCTGTCATATTTGCATTTTTACTAAAATACACTATTGTGGCCTGATGTTTATTGACCTTTAATCTGTGTCAGTGACCTGAATATGTGAAGAAGGAAACGTCTTACAGGTTAAGAAAAAAACACACAAGCATTCTGTTTAGTTTCATTCGTGGGACCATGCACAAAAACATTAATCCTATAAGAGAAAAGATGCTTTGTACCAGATTTAGCTACAAGCCAATTTACATCCAAGGTTTCTGGGCAGCGACACAAAACATGGCGCTCATTACATGATGTTGGATGATGAAAAGGGTTAGCGTGGGTTACCGACGAGAAACAAGATCTGTGGTTTAGATGGGCTCTAGACAAATTCATGGATGTGCAGCATAAAATACACTGTTGAATAACCCATCACACATGAATCTCTAAGGCCTCAGTCACACTGGTCTAGAGACCGGTCAGCAAACCAAAGGCAACCATATGAGGTTTGTTCCCCAACTGGTTGCCAGTTGGTTGGTGGTAGTTTTTAGGTGAATTGGGTAACAAAGAGGGTCCTGCAAGCAGATTGCCCCATTAGTAGTCCATAGTTTCCATGGAGCACAGAGTGGTCTGCAAATATTTGCTGTTTACTCTCCAAGCTGTAGTAAAACAATGGAAAACGGTAACCTAACATTTCGGGTTTGTTTCACACTTTTTTTTTTTTTTTTTTTAGTCGTACTACTGCTAGCTGTAAATGAACCAAGTAGATGCTAATTTGTCAGTGATCCCATAGGTGTGATACTCTATTTAGAAATAGCTTCACTAATAATAGGTTAATAGATTGTCAGTCCATTAATCTACAAATTGCATGGAGTGTAAAATATACAGATAAGGTGAAAATACCCACATGGTGGTGGTTTCATATGCTTTATTTTCCTTAGCCAACAGTCCAGAACTACAGGGAAAACCAGTTTAAGTCTTTGAATTCACAAGAGATGGCTCAGCCATTCACCTGCCTTGGCATTTACAAGTACAGGGCTCCCGACACCCACTGCTTGTTGGCTCCTATAATTGTAGAAGGTTTTTTGGAAGGTTTGCATTCAAGCAAGACCTTCAGTAACAACAGATATGATACTAAATATATGAAGGAGCTGGGGTGAAGAAGGGTTGCAAAGCGGCTTGCAGATGCAGGGCTAAAGCAGCTTTAATAGAGCGTCTTATATGAGATTTACCACCTGGATGTGTAAAGGATATCAGCTGATGTGGGCTGGCATTTAGATTAGCTGATCTGCCAGGATTGGGGCCGAGTTTGATTGTAAGGCCTGCCAAAACTGGTTCCTGTGCTCATGTTTTTTGGGCCCTCAAACACATTTTAGCCAGATCTAAACAAAAAGATCTCCAGTATAGTCAAATTATTTTTCCTGCCAACTTTCTGTTGACCACGTTTAATTTAATCAAATATAATTGCACATCTTTATTATATAAACGGTCAGAAATGTCTTGGCCCTTACTATAAATGAACAGTTCTGAGCCCGGAAAAAACCCTACAGTAAAAAAAATGCTGCACTAGGTTAGAAGTCAATTACAAACTCTCTTCTTGTTACACTGTAAAATGTCTCACTAGCCGCTTTAAAAATACAGCATCAACCAGACTTTAACCTCATTAAAAATGTATATTTTATGAAATAAAAGAGCAGAAGCTGTCTCTGAATAAATAGACCACGAGGTAAATTGTATCTCATCTGGGTGGTTGACCATGTTTTTAAGATGATGCAAACAGGAAAAAAAAATCTAATGTCACTGAGCTCATTCACAGCCCCAGTCCATAAATATTTTAGATATTTGTCTACATGTATTAACTACTAGCAGATCCTCCATGTTGAATGTGATTTAAGGCTTGCAGAGAGGAACCACCCCTCCCTTTCACACATACACACAACCCTACAGGCCCCACCCTGCTCTTCACCTCCGTCAGTCCCCCTCCAACAAATTCACCTCCCTAACACCATCCACCAGTCACTCCCGGTGAGGACCGACCTTCCCTCTGGCCCCGTTCTCCTGCTCTGGTGGTTCTGATGGAAAAGACACTGTGGTGAAATGACAACTAAAAAGCCCCCTCCCCTCTTCAATACCCCCTGTTTCCTCCCTCCCTTCCTCCCTGAGAGGTTCTCTGCAAAGCCTCAGCTTCTTCGACCCTGTTTTTCCCCCTCTGGCTTCTGCTCAGAGCCTAACTCAATCAGTCAGCACAACCAGGTCACCGTCCTGGATCTAACCATGCCAACTGTGTGTGAGAGTGTGTGTGTGTGTGTGAGTGTGTGTGAGAGAGGGAGAGAGATATCTAGGGCAGCAATTCCCAACCATGTGCTGCTCAGGCCCAGGAGTATGCAGGTTTTCATTCCTATCAGCCTCTACAGCAGCTGATCACTAATGATAAAAGCAGCTGCTGTTGGCTAGAATGACTGCGCAGTGACGATGATGATTGTGGTGGTTGTATGTGAATAAACCTTCAGCCTGAGGAAAAACAAATGATTAATGGCATGCCAAGCTAATGACAGACTCATCCTTTAATTAAGGCTGTCTGACTGTTGAATACTGAAAGTTATTCATGCTCACCAGAGGATGAATCCTAAGCATTATGGTGACCACCATGAGGTTTGCTAATCCTTGGGTGCATACACATTTCAGGTTGAATGTCATTCATTTGGTGATCATTTAATACCTTAAAGTCTCTTTAGACATGCTTTTATCCTAGTCCCGTCCCCAATTTGGTTGTATTTGTTATTTCTCTCTTTATGCTGTACCTCAAAGCATTTTTTTTTATTAACCAGTCTTATATTAAACATATATTTGCTTATTTATTCATGGATGGCACTCACAAATGTATGAGCTAAGCACTATCATCCCAAATTGTTGTCTGATGAGCCAATCAGAAAATGAGATTATGTCTACAGATATCATTTCCCAGTTATTCAAATTTTATTTTATTATTTTTTTAGGTTTAGAGATTGTGTCATAGTAAGCTGGTAGACAAAAAAAAGCGATAATTTTAATCCCACTGAAAAAAGTTACAAAGTAATAAAGAATAAAGGGGGGGGGGGGTATATATGCTGAAAATGGGTTACTTTAGGCTGTTGCCCAGTGGTTGCTCGGCACAGTGCATAATACACTTTTTATGCATATCCATGACTTGTTCTTCCAATGAATTTTAAGTGATGTGTAACAGGTTCTAGATGCATAGCCCATTGCTACACATCATGATATCAGATATATAAGAACCTCCAGAGGCCTAAGATTTACCCCTGAGCCAGGGTTAGTTGCTCAACTCTTGATGGTAGGAGAATTTGAAGGACAACGTAACACAGACTCATTTAGTGTGTTACTGACGTCCATTGGTATCATTATTAGATTACACTGCTAATTTTAGTACTAATTAACAAATGTTAGCTTATGGGGTGCAATGTGTGCAGGGTGGCGGCCAGGGGCAGAGACCCTGGTGGACTGATCCCAGCTACCGAGTCTAGCGATTGGGACATGGAATGTCACCTGTCTGATGGGGAAGGAGCCTGAGCTAGTGCGTGAGGTTGAGAGGTATTGGCTAGCTATAATCAGGGTCACCTCAACACATGGCTTGGGCTTTGAAAAAAATGGATTGTCGGGCAGTGGAGGGAATACTTTGAGGGCCTTATCCCACTGCCAGATCTTCCGTAGAGGAAGAAGAGTCTGGGGACAAGGGGGTGGAGTCACTGAGGCAGTTAAACAGGGCCCATGGGATGGATGAGGTTTGCCCCGAGTTCCTGATGGCTCTGGATGTTGTAGGGTTATCTTGGTTGACACGCCTCTACAATATTGCATGGCAATCAGGGGTAGTGCGTCTGAATTGGCAGACTGGAGATGGTGGTTCCCATCTTGATGAAGGGGCAATAGAGTGTGTGCTCCAAATATAGGGGGATCACACTCCTCAGCCTCCCTGGTAAAGTCTATGCCAGTGTGCTGGAAAGCAGAGTTTGTCAGAAAGTCAAACGTCAGATAAATGTGGAACAATGCAGTTTTCGTACCGATCACGGAACAGTGGACCACCTCTTTACCCTCTCGAGAATACTTCAGGGTGCATGGGAGTTTGCCCAACCAGTCTACATGTGTCCAATTGGGTGGTCTCAGAATCTTATCTCTGCTTTTTGCAGATGACGTGGTTCTGTTGGCTTCATCCAGTGGTGGCCTCTAACTCACACTGGAGCAGTTTGCAGCTGAGTGTGAAGCAGCTGGACTGAGAATCAGCTCCTCAAACTCTGAGGCCACGGTCCTCAGCTGATAAAGGGTGCAGTACCCACTCCATTTCTGCCCTAAGTGGAGGCGTTCAAGTATCTCGGGGTATTGTTCGTTAGTTACGTGAGCAAGTGCGCGACAGACGGATTGCTGCTGTGGCATGAGTCGTGTGAATGCTGTGCCAGTCCGTCGCGGTGAAGGAAGAGCTGAGTGTAAAAGCGAAGCTCCTGATCTACTGGTCAATCTGTACCCCTACCCGCACCTATGGTCGCCGAAAAGTGCCTGGCCTGTCTCATAGAGATGGGGTAAGAAGTTCAGCCATCCCGTAAGGGCTCTTAGTAGAGCCACTAGCCACATCGAAAGGACCTAGTTGAGGTGATTTGGCTGTCTGGTCAAAGGTACCTTTATTGTCCCCAATGGGAAATTGATTTGCAGCATATCCACACATTAAACAACACATACATTTAAAAACACAAAAAAGAAAATCTGACGAGGATCCGAGGTGTTCCGGGCATGTCCCACTGGGAGGAGGCCCCAGGTCAGATTATATCTCTCGGCTGGCCTGGGAATGGCTTGGTGTTCCCCAGGACAAGCTGGAGGAGGAGGGTGGTCTGGGATTCTCTGCTTAGGCTGCTGCCCCCACGATCCAGCCCCAGACAAGCGGAAGAAAATGGGTGGATGGCTTTTGGAGATGCACAGATCTATCAGCTTAAGCCCATATCATCCAATAGTATGTCGTTTACTGATTTCACAATCTGATGTTTTTTTGTTGTTTTACATCAGTTTTATGCTAATCTAAGAGATAACATGATAAACTCTTAATAAGCCTCTTTGCACTGTGATGTTAGATTTCATAAAGGAAGATTTTTTTATTTTTTTTTATTTTTTTTACATAATAAACAAACAAAAAAAAGAAAAATAATGGCATCAGCAAAACTAAACTGTTCAAATTTCAAACTCCGTATGTTCAAAATTTATATGTTGAACATCTTGGGCTAAAATTTTACAGCTGGTGGATGCCACATTCATTGTTAAATCATTAAACTTTTTTCATCTGCTCTTTTATTTCTGATTTTTCTTTTATTCATAAAATGCTACAGCAAATGAATCTGTTTTTATTTTAGTACAGTTTTACACTGGATGCCCTTCCCAACACAATCCTCCCATTAATCAGAGGTTTGGGATCGGCACTAGAAAAGCACTAGCTTATGACCCCCTAAGGCAGGGGTGTCAAACTCCAGTCCTCGAGGGCCTGTATCCTGCTTGTTTTTAAGATATCCCTGCCCTACCTGCTGCTGATTACCTGGATCAGGTGTGCTTTTGCCAATAAGAAGCTACAAGGGCAGGCTAGTTGGAAAACAAGCAGGACAGTGGCCCTCAAGGCCTAGAGTTTGACACCTGTGCCCTAAAATTATGGTTTCAAATTGGGGATCTTTAATATGTAAGGGCAACGTGTCAACCACTACACTATGGAGCCAAAAGTGAAAATTTGCTGGTTAATCCTCCTTAAATATGAATATTTGCAAATTTTGGTGATTAATTGGGGGAAATCTTTGGCTTTATTCTCTTACTAGGTTGAACCACCTTGGGCAAGATTTAACCTATTTATGAATAATTTATAGACTTAAAAAAATTCTACTATTGAAATTCATTTGATTTTACTTACACATTTTTAACACTAATGAGTAAAAGTTGAATGCACAAATGCATCGTGAACTATCGCCAACATTAATGCCATGTATTTATTTTTATTCAGAGATGGTGTGGTGAAAAGCTTAAACACTAGCAGTACTTTTATTTTCTCAGACAGAAAATGACAATTCAAAACAAGAACAGAAAAATGTCGGTCAAATTGTTCTTTTAAACACAGGTGTCAGCCCTGAATTTCACAAACCTGTGCCCCCCTGGTCACACAGTTCACTAAATGATCGACTTGCCAAACAATACACCTGCATAGGATAACTATTCTAGCATTGTCATTGCGAGCATGTTGGCATGTAGCTGAAACCGGCACTTAGCACACCTGACCAAGAAGCAAAAAGGGCTGTAGCCATGTCAGCAGCATCTTATCAATACGCTCCATTAAATGTTGAGTGAGGGTTATTTATATTTCCCATTAAATATTAGCAACACGAAGGGATCATCAAATCTGTGTCAACGGCATTCCCGCTATCCAAAATTTATGCAAAGGATTGTTGGTCTCGCACGGAGCCATTTATTCCTTCTTTTCTGTAAATTTTGGCCACAAGCTGAGCCGGATAAAACTGAGCTCGGCCTTTATTTCTTCACATGCCATCATCTTCTTCATCATCATCATCCCAGAAAAAACAGACGCTGTTGCCACAACATTGCCATAGCTCGCAGAGCAGCCTCCTCTGTTTGAGTGTGTGTCTTTTAGAAAGAAAAGGCAGAATAGAGGAAGAGGAGTTGCACCAAGGGGAGAGCGAAGCTGCCGGAGCTTTTTCTGCCCATTTATCTATCTCTGCTCGCTGCCCCCGGCTCCCCCAACATTAGTCTTCACTCGCTAATGCAAACACAAAATAGCTGCTGGTTGCTATGACTGCATCCCCCTCCTTCCTCCCCCACAGGGATTGTGTGTTCGATGGAGACTAAATTAGCCCACTCCCGGATCCTAATATCTCAGGCTTGGGGAGGGGATGCTAGTAGCTGACCGAGGTCACAAGTTTCCAAGGCCACAAGGCGTTCTTTATTTATTTTCTGTCCTTCTCACCTCACAGCAAAACCTGTTAAGACAGCAGGAACGCGTGGAGGAGCGAGTGCAGGAGATTGAGGAACAGCTTTGCAAACTCGACTCAGACAAGTGTGTGGTGGAGGTATGTTTTTGCACGTCACTCCGTGGGCGCGTTTTCTCCTTTATGGCTCTATAAAATCTTTAGGAAATTTTGATTGGTGTGTGTGTGTGTGTGTATGTGTGTTTATTTTACAGGACAGGGTATGTGAGCTGAAAGAGGAGGTGCGCCTGCAGTACCAGCGGATGCACCAGCTCTTGGAGGAGGATCTTGGTCGGACACTGGAGGCTCTGGATCGGGCTCAGGCTCGGTTTTGTCAGGAGAACGCAGCCCAGGTTTTAGCTCTCGGGGAGCAGCGCCACGAGGCCCAGAAGCTGCTGAGCTCCATCCAGACTGCCTTCGGGAAGGCGGAGGAGCTGAGCTTCATGAAAAACACCAAGCCTGTTAAAATCCTCACAGACAGGTGAGCAAACGGTCTTCATACAATGATTTTTATTTATTGAATTATTTTGGAGATGTTTCCAAGCAAACACCTTATCATGAACCCCGTCTCCTCGCACTTGTTGCAGATCTCAGGCATGTGTGGGCAGCAGTCTCCCTCCTTACAAAGTTGGGAATCTCAACTCTAAACTTTTCCTTTCTGAGATCTCAAAAAGAGAGAAGAGCTTGAAAAGAACACTTGAAGGTGAGAAAATGAAATACACCTGTTAGCTTTTAGTGCAGGGCACGACCGTCATGGAAGTGTTTTTCTTTTAATTACCACTTACCTCTTCTCATTTCGCACTTTCTCTCTCTCGTCTCGTAGCTCCCCTCACCCCTCCCTCGACCTTCCTGCAGTCTGTTCCCGCCTATCCCAGCGGTCAGAGCTCTGGCTCTGGTGCAGAGAAACGGAAACATTCCACTGCTTTCCCAGAGGGAAATGGGAACGGCGGAAAAAATGCCGCACCGGGTTTCAAAGACTCGTCCTCCTCTTCCTCATCTTCTTCCTCGTCGTTAGCCAAACAGCCCTACCTGGGGTCCAGCTCTGCCTCTGGAGAAGGCCAGTCCACCAATCAGCAGGCTCTCGGACCCTGTGGCCCGCCTCACATCAGCGAGAGCGGCGGGACGGGAAGCGGAAGTGGCTCGTTGACTAATCACCATTCAGGCTCTGTATTCGGCTCCTCTCACTTCCCTCCTGGAGGCAGCAGTTCCTCGCACTCCTCCCAGCAGGCAGTGCTCCCTCAGTATGGCGGTCGCAAGATTCTGGTGTGCACGATGGATAACTGCTACTGCTCTGGAGTGCCCTCTGTGTCAGGCCACCGCAGCCACCCTCCGTACCCACGCTCGGGCTCTTTTCCCTGGGTCAGTGCCCAGGACTACCCCCCTCCTCCTGGCCTGGCTTCCGGAGGTCCGTCCATGCAGGGCTTGGCAGTGAGGGACTGGATAGACGCCTCACAGACACACAGACATGCAGATTTCTACGGGCTGTATGGGCAGCCCTCTACAAAGCACTACGTCACCAGTTAACAGAGCAAACACACACACACACACACACACACAGATATAGAGACAGGCACCAAAATAGCACACCTTTACCGACTTACTAACGGGAATAAACACAATACGATTATACTATACACATATTAAAATAATTGTTTATATTTACACACATACGCGCACACATATTCGGGGGCAGGGTTGATCTCTTTGTTTTTATTTTCTTCCTTTCTTTAATTTTGGTCCGTGTTTTCATGTAGTGTATTATACGTAAAATGCATAAACAGGCTGGTGAAACTCAGCTCAGCATTTTACACAGAAACAAGGAAGAGAAGCCTGAAGAGGAGACGAGGAGATGCATCTTTTTTTATTTATAGAGTAGGAGATGGATTGGTAGGAAATTAACTTTTAGTAGAGAATCTTCTCATGCTTCTTCAAGGCTTCTCACTGAGGCTAAAGGGAAAAGAGATTATACCGTGCAGTGTTGAGCTTTCCACGTTCAGCTCATGTTTCTCTGATATAATCACCCCTCCAGTTGTACTGAGGTCAATTGCCTTATGTTATTAGCAAACATATTTTTCTCCACATAGCTGACTTTGTTTGATAGATCCTTTAAAAAGGGACTGCGGTCCCTGCGTGTCCGTTTTATTTTTATTGTCATGGCACTTCTTCCTTTCTTTGCTGAGTTCAGGGATGGATCGTACAGCTTGAACACAAAAAGCTCTTCCATGGAACACCCACAATGCACTTGTGGACGCCTTGCTATGCCTGGACTACAGATGCTGACCCACAGAGGGACAATAGAGCAGCGTCTAAAGGGCCGGCTGACCCCAGCCCTCTGCATTTTTGAGAATTCGGCCCGCATCCTTAGCACTCCCTTCCTGCTGCCACAGGACAGAAAATATTACAGACTGTTTCCATTTAGTGATGAATGACTTTGTGTTATTTGGTACACTTGTACGTGTAACGCTTGCCTACAGAGACTCTACTATTTTAGAGAAAAGGGCAAGACTGGGGAGACCAAACTAATCAGGCATCTGGACGATCTGATGATGCTGTAATTGTACTTCCTGCAGGGCAAAGATGTCACTTCCTCTCAATAAGCACACAAGCTCTTGGCTTCCTGTTTGCAGCTGAAAGCATGCAAGGAAGAGGTTTAGTTTTTTGTTTGTTTGTTTTTCTAAAAGCACTCAGAAGAAGAACAATGGGGGAAAAGAAACTGTATGCTGTTTTAAAATGAGTGTACGAAAGAAACGAAGGGTGGGAGGAACTTTTTTTTTTCATGAACTTTTTCTAAAAGACTGGACTGCAAGATGTAAGCAATGGTTCATCATCCTTAAAAGTAGCTGTTCCAACAGCCACGACAAAGAGAGAGGAAAAAAAAAAACCTAAAAGTATCTTTTTTTGTAAATATTTTGTGAAATGGAAAAATTACAGACGTGATTTGGAGAAAGGATCCAAATAAACAAGTTTAAACCAGTCTCTGCTGTCAACTGTGTATGTGCGAAACATCTCATGTTTAAAGGATAAGGTTGGTGATATTCTATATTTTTGTTACTGTAAATAAATCCCATAAAAAGACAAAAAACAGCTGTGTGTTAGTATTCAAATACGTTTCCACTTCCCCGTCATGTCCATACATAGCAGCAGCTTGTTTACTCCAACTAGAGATGTAAACAGGTAACAAATTTATGCATTAGTTTATTTAAAAACTCTTATATTCAATCTGGCCGATATAAAAATTCAACAAAACTGTCGTGAAAGTGCTTTTGTACACTTGTAGAGGCAGTTAGGATGTTTTTTTTTTATACTAACAGCTAGCTAAAGCGAGATTAATATAGCAAATGATTCACCTGCCCAGGGTTTACTAAACTTGCAAGAAATTGTTAGCACCTGCAATTAAATATATATAATATTTATTTTGGCTGGAAAATGGTTGGATCTATTTATTTAAAGTTCATACATAGATACATAGAAATACAGTATATAAAACAAAAACAATCTGTTTTAATATCTAGACAATATTTGGTCTGACCGCCTTTATTCTTCAACATAGTTTGAACTCTCTTAGGCAGCTTTCTTGTCATTTAAATATCCATCAGGAATCGTTCTCTAGGCTTCTTGAAGGGCATTCAAAGCTCTTCCTTGGATGTTGGCTGCTTGTGTTACGCACTCTGTCAAAATGATCCCGCACTGTTTCAGTAATGTTGACGTCCGGGGAGGTCAATCCATGACTGATTTTGTTCCGTTGTATGGCCTTCTATCCTAGCCTAGCATTGTATTTGGGATCATTGTGATGCTGAAAAATGAAGCTGTTGCTAATCAGATGCTTTCCAGTTGGTATTGCATGTTGGATAAAAATCTGACTTCATACTGCCATTAATTTTTACAAGATCTCGAACACCACTGGTTGACATGCAGCTCCAAACCATGACAGTGCCTTCACTGTATTTTACTGTAGGACCTCTCTCCTGAACTCTTCCATACACATTGAAGACCTTTTGATTTTCAGTTCTTGTGTAATTTGACACACTTCAGTCTGTTTCCCTTCCTTAAGAATGGCTTCTTGACAGCCACCCTTCCACTGACACCATTTCTGACGAGGCTTCATTGAGCAGTTGATGAAGGTGCAAATGCATTTCTTAGTTTCTGTGTCAACTTTGCTAAGTGTTAGGTAGCTTAACAAACAAAAAGCATTTTTTCTGAAAATGGTAAGGTACAAAGAAAAATTCTGAAAGCTCAGGGAGCCTTTCCTCAAGACCACTTTCAAAATTTGCACGAGGTCTGGCTCTTTGCATAGAGTTTTTCATCTTCCTCTCTGGTACACAGTAAAATCACACACTAGCTTTAGCTGAGCTTTCCCGAGACTAACGCCTTCATCCTTTTAAAAATCATGGGGGGAAATTTCATAGCACTAAAGGGCTGCCATATTTAAGTTTGTACTACTTTAATTAAGGGTCCAGTTTACAGTGTAGTGCAGAAGAGGACCCAAAGTTTTCCAGATGTGGTGGATACTTATTTTATTTACACTTTGCTTTGATTTATTTATTTTAATTATTTAAAAATTAGGCTGAGTCATAGATCTGGGTTTCCACTGTTGTGTGTGAGAAAAGGTGTCCGTGTCATCAGCGTTGCGTAACAGTTCTTCGACACCATTAGATGTGAAATACCACATTGACTCATGGTGCCAAATATTTCTTTCAGGGAGCCAACTCTGGGTTTTGGGCCTCGAGTTAAAGAATATTTCAAGCCATGTTACATGTGACCTAAACAAATATGAAAATCTTAAGTTAACCAAAGTCTGTTGTCAAGTACAAAGAAGTTCAAATTGACTGTATAGCCTAAAAGAGCAGCAAAATAGATGACCTCATAAAGACAATGCTTATTGGAAGCACGAATTCTTTGATGGTTTTGCTATTTTGTGGATTGTATTTCTCATAAAATTTTCCACTGGCATTTTGTGCAGTTTTGCAAACACAGCTACCCCTAAACAGTCATCTGCATACTCAACCATTCAACCTTAAAACAAACTGACATCCTCCCACCTATACCCTTAACATTACACAATCTCTGCTCCAACAGACCTCCCCCCAAAAAAACCTGATCAGTCCGCCTTGTATCAGTTTTATATATAATCTATTAGTGTACTTATCTGTCTTAATGGACGTGTCAGTAAAGGAAAAACCTATTTAAACATAACTTAACAACTATCTCTGTGTCCACTGAGTACAAAACGGCTCATGAGTATGTGTGGGTGGAGGCCTGCAGAGAGAAAACAGGATGGAGAAAACGAGTCTTGAGATGACTAGACGCGCGAGACAGAGATGCAGAAAGAGTGTGTGTGTCTTTGAGTGAGTGCATGTGTGCGTTCCCCTCAGCCCGATTAAGCTGTTGCATTACTGCTTTCCCCTACCCAGCACTTTGAGCCTCAATCCCATTCACACAGCAGAGATGATCCACCTGTGTCTTAGAAAAACAGTGAGTGCAGAGCGGAAAGAAGGAAAGAAAATTTTGAATATTTCAGTTATGAAGATCACATGATTCGATTGAAAGTTACTCAAAGGAGTAGACTGACGCTAATAATTTCCTAGATGAGGACACTTCCATCAATAAAGTTATCTTTGTTTAGCATATAGACTGTAAACAAAGGGTAGTTTAGTTTCACTACTTTACATGTTTTCAATGTTAATCCAGCAACTGGCCACACTTTATATTAATTCTGGCATCAAATTATATCACAGGCAGTTACAGATCTACGTTGCTGCTAGCGAACTCGCAACAGCATTAACTGATAACTCCACAGGACTGTAACGTATAAAATAAAAAGCTACAGGCTAGTTTAAACCTCTGGGTGTTGTTGTGGCAGCTACAATGATCTTTTATGTAGAGTTTACGAATGAGACATCTGCAGAGGTGCTGGTTTTGGCTGATTTTGTTGTTCTGGACTAAATGCTTCTTTCTTCTAGGCTCTGTGCTAAGCTGCAGTAGTGGTCAGAAGTTTACATACACTCAATCAGGAGCATGAATGCCATGGTAATTTTGGTCTTTTAATGATTTCTTTGAACTCTTCTATTTTCCAGGGTAGAATGATTAAAATGCATACATCTTTAACTACATTAAAGAAACAAAAATTGGGTGCACAAGTTTGGATTTATTCAGAATTTCTCTAATCCACATACATATAGGTTCAAATATATACATACACTTAAATCTAATAAGAGGAGCTAAAAGTTCTCTAATTTCTTTTAACTTGACAGTGTCATGGGCAATTTAAAAGCACAAAAAAAGAATTTATTTGACAGAACTTGTTGGATTGTTAGAACAATGGGAAAGTCCAAGAAGCCGAGGTAGATTTAAGAAAGAGAAATTCAGATTTACAGTTGGGAAGTTCTCTTTGAGCTATTTGTCCACAATGTTTTGAGGATTTAAGATGAGGTTTTTCAAACTGTCAAGCATGGTGGTGGTAGCCTCGTGCTCTAGGGCTGTTTTACTGCCAGGGTTACTCGTAAATTGCACAAGGTGGATGGAGTAATGAAGGAGAACTACCAAAGTCTTCAGCTCCACCTGAAATGAACAGCTAGACACTTGAAACTTGGACACAATTGGGTGTCAACAGCAGGACATTTGTCTCAAAATACAGCCCTCACCTCAACTCTATTACAAATTTGTTAATTACACTTAAAGTCCGGCCAGGAAACCAACTTATATCTGCCAAGAACTGTCAGACGTCCAATCACGAGTATGCCTGAAGGCTGTCAGTAGCTACCAAAAGTGTCTGGCCCAGGTGCAGCCTGCTAAAGGAAATTAAATGTTAGTGGAGGTGTCTATATTTGAACCTGTATGCACACTTTTGACTCTTTGTGGAGTAGAGAAAATCCAAAATAAATTCAAATGTGCACACAATTCTTATTTTAAAAAGTCATTATGTATCCGGTACAAGACAAAGAAAAGCTCAAAGAAATCCCGAACATTACGAGTGTCATGGAAACATCATGACCACGACTGCACATTCATTTTTAATGTGACTGAATTGCATATTCCAACTTTACATGACTGACTGTAACTGCATGTGTCAGTCCACAGAAGGAGTAGTTTTATTGCAATGTTTCCAAACAGAAAATGAGAACAGTGGACATAAGGTGCAAGTTACCTGGTAAGATTGTGGTCGTTAACCACTTGGTTCTGCTTTCAGTCCGTTGTGATGAGAACTGAATATGTGACCAAGTTTGAAACACCAAGGAACTACTGACAGCATTTTTGTTTATCAAGCAATTTAAATATGCAGCCTACAGATACTTAATGATGTGAAAGTGAAAATTTAAACATGCCCTGACTACGTTAGAAATGAAGGTTTCTTTTTATTCATTATGAGAGAGCTGTGAGCTGTAAAGTCTTGCATCAGTTGCAACAAGGTGCCTGCAGGTCCTGTTGGCTTCCTCAAAAGTTTACCCCATGCCATGCTACTGTGTATGAGTGGCACCAGTCTTATTCATAAAACAACTAAAGCTACAAAATCAACATCACGTTGAGGTTGTTTTGTCAACTACAGCTTCCAAGGTAAAGAATAAACCTACATTTTGAACTCTCTTCACAGTTTTATGAGATATTTACTCATTATATGTCAGTTTCAATGTCTGAATGCCATTTCTTTCCCTCCAGCAGCAGTCAGCGGTTAACATACACGTAAAAACAAACATTTTAAATCACATTGCTTCTTGCTCCACCCTCGTCTTCCTCCCACTTCTTCTCCCTTTCAAGCTTAAGCAGAGGTCTGATGTGCTGCTTCTTTTTCTCACGTCAGCAAACCTCAGCAGAGACAGGCAGCCAAGAGCTGTGGGGTCGGAGGTGCGGCATAAATTACAGCGCTGCTTTTCAGTCTTTCTCTCTTGCTGACACACACACACATTAGCAAACACTCCCCTCTTTCTCTCCTGACACACATTTTCTCACACTTGCGCACACAGCTGCCGAACAGCTGCTTGATCCACAAGGAGAAACAAGAAGAATCCGGTCGCCTACCTCTCAGATATGCATCTATGACACACACGCACACACATGCATACACTGTGAGCCACTTTAGAATTACCA